ATCACCATCAATACACATAAAGTAGGCCTGTATCCCATTTTGTTACAGACCAGGATATTACCAGGCATGTAAGTGATACAAATACTAGCTGAGCAATACCAACACTGACAGTGGACATGGGCTGTATTGGAAATCTTCTAGTTCAGTGGGTCACAAAATATAGATTCTAGTCACTGTTACCCACCTACCCAGTCAGTGTCCCTGAGCACTTAGCCTGGCAGAACCTTGGATACCTTATCTATTAAGTCATGTACTCATGCCTAACTGACATCCTCACAGATAGGTGTGAGCACTTAAAAAATAATATCTGTAAAAGTTCCATGCAAATGTGAGATACTATTATGCATAATATTTATTATAAGAAATTGGCTGTCAGGAAACAGTAGAGTAGAAAATAGACAATAAACATAGCTAATAGGAAGACTGTGTTAAATATATACATACATATATATATATATGTATGTATGTATATATGTCTAAGATATAGGCTAAAGTAAGAGGCAGGGAGACCAGAAGTTCAATGTAAACGGAGGGTTGAAGGAGGTAACCTGAGTCAAACATCGCAGGAGATAATAAAAAAAAAATGCTTGGCTAGAGATCAGGTAGGACAGAACAAAATTCTGAAGATGCTGAGTACCCAGGTGGGAAGGCAATTTGTTATGCTTAGTACATCCAGAAAGAACTGTGTTTGCCTTAAACACCTGAGGCTGTGAGAGAACAGTGTGTGTGTGCGAGCATGTGTGTGTGTGTGTGTGTGCGCGCGCAGAGAGCCAAAGCTGAGCTCTCTAAGCTAGCTCCTCTAACATGCAGACCTGTAGATCCCAAAAGAGTGGCTGATTATCCTGGAAACTTGAATTATTTACTACAGGAGGGGTATTAAGAATTTGGAGGGCTGTTATGGGTTAAGTTGTATCCTCCAAAAAAAATATGTTGAAGTGCTAACCCTCAGAACCTCAGAATGAAAACTTATTTGGAAATAGGGTTGCTATAGATGTAATTAGTTGAGTCAAGGTGAGTTCATACTGGAGCAGGGTGGGCCCCCAATCCAATGTGACTGGCGTCCTTATGAGGAGATAGCCATGTTAAGGCAGAGACACAGAGGGAGAGGGCCTTGTGACTACAAAGGCAGATACTGGAGGCCAAAGAATACTGAAGACTGCCAGCAAACCACCAGAAGCTAGGAAGAAACGAGAAAGGATCTTGGAGGCTTCAGAGGAAGCGAAGCCCTGCTGATGCCCTGATTTTGGACTTCTAGCCTCCAGAACTGGGAGATAATAAATTTCCGTTGTTTTAAGCCACAGAGTTTGTATTACTTTGTTATGGCAGTCCTAGAAAACGAATATGGAGCAGATAGCCTTTGACCCCAGGACAGGAGGAGAACCCTCTTTAACTTCTTCAACACAAGATCAGCCTCATGGAAGTAAAGGGGGGCGTCTGTTTGTACCAAGCGTACTTTCACTGGTGGCTACTGCAATACTGGAGCCACTACTGCCCCTCAGATATTCACAGGCAAGACTGCCCCCCAAGTCAGCCCCTACCTACAAAGCCATGCAGGTCGCAGCAGGCACAGCCGGGATTTTTGATGGCTTCACGTAGCTGCTGAACCAACAAACTCTGCAACTCCCCACGTCTGTCCTTACGCGAGAAGCTTAATTTCCTATTGCTTAAGTCATTTTGCTCAGGGTAATCTGTTAAACACATAGTTTCTATGTTGAGTGTTTTTCTTTCCCTCTTGTCTTCCCTAAGTCATAGTATGAAGTACTATCACACTTAAGGGCACCCCTAGAATTCTTCTTCTATTTTGCTGAGTTGATACTGCTTTTACCGAGTATTTTTCAACTTTAGTCATATCCAGATGAGGCAGTGAGAGGAAATAAGTGGAGAGTGTTGACAATCTCAGAGTCAATGCCTGCCGCAGCTTTGAGCTGCCCCAGTGAACTGTGCATTTGGACTGTTCATCAACATTTGATTGTGGTGTGGTCACATTCCATTAGCTACCTGGTTTGTAGTATAGTCTACTTGAATTAAATACTGAAGTTACTCAAGCTGGCGAAATAAAAATGGAAATAAAACTGTGGAAAGAATAATTGGGTTCCATTTCTCAAAATTAAACAGGATCAAGGATCTTTCAGCTGCATTTTCAAAATAAAAGCCCTGGTCACCTGCAAGGATTTCATGCCACTGGTACAGGCATTGTTGTCATGTTTAATCTAAACACCGCTTATTCACACTAGAGAAGCAAAAGCATATTAAGATCAATATACTACGCAGGCTGTCACATGAAGGCAATGTTCATTTGAACCACTGCTGATTATACTTTCGAGAACTGCTCTTGACCCAAAGCTTTGCTCGCCAGGGAGAGTACAAATGTTTGTGGAATCGGCCAGACAAATGGAAAACTGTTCCTGTGGACATTCTTATGCAGAATTATGAAGCAAAAAAGCAGCTTTGTTGGAAAGAGTAATTCTCCATTTAGAACATAAAAACATGAGGATTGTGTAGGCTTGAGCACCAAGAACTGCAGCCCGGGACTGACAGCATACCCCTGGCACAAGCAGGCATCCTGAGAGAATCTATGAGGCAGGCATGAGTCACCAGGCACTTGCTGCTGAAAGGCACTGTCTCTCCACACGGCCATCTGCCTACTCCTCAACTTAACCACTAGAGCAGGTAGGATGCCATGCTGGCTTTTCCCTGCTGAGAACACAACCAGTTCCAGACAATATGGGCAACAGAGGCTCACCACAGATCACTATACTGCCCCTTCTAGAAACATTCCACATATTTTATTCAACCCAGCTGAAACTGAAAAGTCACACACACCGCATGAGAAATGTAGAAAGCCAAGGGCAGGCTTCTCTTATTTACGTTTTGTGATTGTGGGAACACTAGCTTGCTGTGGGTTAGAAGAAGAACACCATCTTCGGTGTTATGTCATCCTAAATATGTGCTGAGTGGCCTCAGTTATTCTTTAATAACAGATCAATCAAAATCTACAGAGAAATTTGTTGATACCAGTAGTTATAAAGCCTCTGCAAACTGCCCTTCAAATGCATCATCTCCTTTGGCTTTTTTTTTTTTACCAATGGATTCATTCATCCGACAGAAGTTTACTGAGCACCTACTCTGTATCAAGCACTATGTTGAGAGTTGGACATCATAGGACCCGCTGACAACTACAATGGGATGATCACAGTGTGCTAATGGAGGCTGTAAAGGCTGCAACAGAAACTTAAGGACACGAGCCTCAGTGTCAGCCAGGCATTAGGGAAGGTTTTGTACCGGAGACAGGTGCATCTGAGCTGAGACCTGAAGACTGAGGAGGAACGTGTCAGAGTTCTGAGGGCTACTCCAGAAGATATAACAGTGCATGGAAGGGTTTAAAGGAATGCTGTATCAACATGGATTTGGGGTGAACTTGTTGTTCACTATTCTTGAGGCTTAAGAACAAGTAAATTGGGAATCAGTAACCTGAGAAGAAGGTGGATAGGTAGATATGGGCTGGAATATGAAGGGCTTTGTTCACCTTCCAAAGGAGTTTTGATTCTGTCCTACAGTGTTTCTCAAAGTGGGGTTCACAAGGTCTCTATGAAAATTTTTATGTTTTTGTTGCAATAATTTTATTAGTAATCAAATGGGAGGAACAGTGATAAAAACATATTCCAAATCATCTGGATGACCATTTGCCTCACAATTTCAGTGCCCCTATTTATGTTTACTATTAAGTCAGCATAAGCCAACAGAGATGTACCAGTTAGAGACCAAAGATGTTGTCTGAAGATCACCCTAGCTGAAATTGAGTAAAGTGGTGGGAGAACGGGGTCACCACATGGTACATGGTAATAAGTAGGACAAAATAACTCAAAATAATACATGCTGTCATGCTCTGAAACATATTCATACTGCAAAGGACAACTGAGTTTCATAAAACAGTGTCATCTGTCTCATTATATTAAAGGTGTTTATTTGAATGATACTGGCTCTGTAGCTTTTTCATAACACATTTTTTTCCTTTTAGTTTTATAGTTCTATAAACATAAGGCAGAAGTTTATAAACATAAGGCAGAACTAGTTTCATGTTTTTTAAATCCTATTTAAGAAACATTTAAGATTTAAGTAAACACTGGAATCTGCAGGGTTTTTCTTTTTCTCCAAAATGGGCCTGTCCATAACCCAAGTATGAAAAAGGACCATAGAGAATTGTGAGCCACTGAAAAACTTTCAGCATATTGGTGTGAACTGACTGCTGTGTTAGGAGCTCACCTGTGCAGTCACATAGAGGAAGAACAGCCATGGGGTCAGAATGGAGATAGAAAGACCTCTAAGGAGATGAACGCCTCAGTCCTGTTATTAAAAGCGCCCATTTGCTTAATCCCAGAGACCTGCTCAGGGCACAGGCCCCAGTACTGTGGAATTAAATGCTGACAGGGCAAGCAAAGCTGTATCAGTATTTCAGGGTATGCCTTATCTAGGTGGAAAATTCCCCAAACTTCTACATGTTTCATCTCATGGAAGCCTCTGTGACGATGCCAGAACTAAATTAGGACCAAATCCCAGGTTTTACTAGAGAGCCAAAAAATCACACAAGAGAAGTTGCTATCTACCTGGTAACAACAACAAAAAAAACCCCAGGACCTCTGCATACAGTGCCATAGTCCGGCTGGAGCTGAAATCTTTCTCTTTACCAATCCATGTGTCACTGGGTGCACCTATGCAGGGAAGGTGACTTTTTCTAACTTACACAAAGGCTGGGTGAACTTGCCAAGCCATGACCTGTGGAGAGAGCTGCATCTTCTGGAGGGAACACCTTTTTCTAATTGCATGAAGGTAACTTATAGGCTAGCTATGACTTAATCCTGCTTTTCTCAGATTATGTGTCATCATTATCACTCCCCAAACCGGAACTTACAGTTCTGAAAATTTGGGGAAGCATATGATTTTCTCATAAAAAGGCATAGTACCAGCACACTCAACAACATAAATAAATGCCTTCTGATTACCTCAGGAGCCATCCAGAATGGGGTGCCAACAGATGTGTTTCTCCGTAGACGTGTACTGGTGAGTTGAGCAGAGACACCTATAAGAAAAGGGTACCATAATTCAGCAGTGAACAGAGGGTGATGCTAAACCAGAGGCTGGCAAACTTTTTCCATAAAGGGTCAGATAGTCAGTAGGCTCCAAGAGCCATATAGTCTCTATCATAACTGCCACTAGAGAGCAAAAAGCTGCACGGACAACACAGAAACAAATGAGTGTGGTTGTGTTTCCATAAAAATTTATTTATGGGTACATATAATTTTCACATGTCATAAATATTCTTTTGAATTTTTTTCCCCAATCATTTAAAAATGTAGAATCCACTTTTCTCTCACAGGTCATATAAGAGGAGGCAGGTCAGATTCAGTTGACCTGTAGTTTGCCAAAACTGTAGTTTGCCAGTCACTGTGTGGGAGCACTTACCTCTCTATCTAAATCACTAGAATATCTTTTTCATAATGAACATTCCTACCCGTATTGCTACAGAATTGGAATTAAAAGAAAATATCGGGGCACCTGGGTGGCTCAGTCGTTAAGCGTCTGCCTTCAGCTCAGGTCATGATCCCAGGGTCCTGGGATCGAGTCCTGCATCGGGCTCTCTGCTCGGTGGGAAGCCTGCTTCTCCCTCTCCCTCTCCCACTCCCCCTGCTTGTGTTCCTGCTCTCGCTGTCTCTGTCAAATATATAAAATCTTAAAAAAGAAAGAAAAAAAAATATCAAAGGGGACCTGGGTGGCACAGTCGGTTAAGCATCTGACTCTTGGTTTTGGTTCAGGTCATGATGTCAGAGTCATGAGATGGAGCCCTGCATCCAGCTCCAAGTCAGTGAGGAGTCTGCTTGAGATTCTCTCTCCCTCTACTCTGCCCCTCCCGCTTATGTACTCTCTTTCTAATAAATACATACATACATAAATAAATCTTTAAAAAAAAAAGAATATATCAAGAACTAAACCCAAAATATCTTCCTATTATATTTCCAAATATTTCAGGTGATTTCTTTCTTAAAATGGTGCTTCATTTTATGGACGAAGAAAATCGGCATGTATTATTTATAATAGAGCATCACTGGAAACATAAAAAGTTTCTAGTCCCTTATCTTACCTAGAAGCCTGGAAACCTGGCAAGAAACCTATGTTTGTCAAATGGAAAAAGAAGCTGACGAAAAATATTATGATCTAGGGCTCAGTGTTGAGGACCAGAATTTTAATGTAATTCCAATGTATTTTATCTATCTTAAGTCTTCAGCTCTCTTCTTTATACAAGTGAATAAAGTAGGGCACCTGGGTGGCTCAGATGGTTAAACATCTGCCTTCGGCTCAGGTCACGATCCCAGGGACCTGGGATCGAGGCCCACATCAGGCTCCCTGCTCGGCGGGGAGCCTGCTTCTCCCCCTCCCTCTGCTTCTCGCCCTGCTCATGCTCTCTCTCTCTCTCTCTCTCTATCTCTGTGTCTCGAATGAAGAAATTTAAAAAAATACATTTAAAACAAGTGAATGAAGTAGAAGTAAAGATGCACTGGATTAGCAGTCAGAAGACCTGTTTTCCATCCCAATTATGCCTTTTCCTAATTGTATGACCTCAAGCAGACACCCTCACTCTGAGCCTCAGTTTTCTTATCCTCAAATTGGGGATAATGATACCTGTCACACCTAACACAAAGGGTTCTTCTTAAAGATCAAATAAGAAAACAAATGTGAAATAACTTAAAAATTGTAAAATATTTTACAAATATAAGGTATTCTTTTATGCCGAGCAGAAATCTAAGGCAGCCCTTAACAGAATCACAAGCATTGCCACTAAGGCTGTTGAGGATGAGAACTTAGAAACCTGAATCAGGCACAGTTTTGCCAAGGCCCAGGTTGTTTTGGGTGATGGTTGCTGGACACTTGCATTCTCTTTATTAGAAATCCAAAGAGGGCTCTCTAAACTCTACTGGCCATGGATAATTTGTTATTTTGCCAAATTCCCTGCTATAATTTTGGTTAAAAAAAAAAAAAGCTTTTCTGTTTTTAATTTCTAGAAATTTCTTTTGCAGCAACTGCCTTCTACTGGCAAGATTAGGAGACTCACTTCAAATCACAAAGCTGGTGAGTAGATAAATCAGCATTAATCCCCATCCTCATCCTCCTAGGCTCTTCCCCTCACAATACATTGACTGCCCTTGGGACCACGTGTAAAATACATCTCTGATGTTATCTACAGCACATTCATAGGGTTATACCATTCCTTATAAATAAGGAGGAGCATAAGACTTGAACAAAGTCCCCCTCTGCTATTTTTCTTTGCTTGCTCTTTTAGTAAATAAACCAGTACACCTAAAGTAACTTCATTTATTTTTGAGTAATTTCTTCTAAGCAAATCATTCACTAATACATTTTAATACTGAATTCTTTCTTAACAACAAAACAATGAATATTCAAAATCATCAATCTTTTCTTCTACTATGTTGACATTTATGAAGAACATTTTAAAAAGTGCTTCTGTAAATGTTTTCTCATTATTTGTATCAATCAAAGTGAAGTACTGTTGTTGAACACATTTAGAAGACTAAAGCATTCAATAAACTTAAAAAGGAAAACCAAATGGTTTGTTGGTTTGTGAATATCAATACATAAGTGTTGCAAGGAGATATTTAATAGGTCTCTGGCCTTAGGTGATATTGCTCTGCATTTCCTCTCACATTTCCATTTCCTGTTAATGTTTCCAGTTCAACCAGCCTCACATGTAGCAGCAATATTCACAATTTAAAGGGATGTTAGCTGCCAGACCCAAAGGACTATTTTACCTTCTGCTCACTGGGAATAAGTATGCCTGAGGCTAGAAAAAGTCATTTGAAAGACCAAACTGCTTTCTCTTTTCATATGCAAAAGAAGAAATGACGAAATGTAAATTATAGACAACAGCCCTGAGAATAGAAATTCTTCCCAGAAAAGCAAGTTTTTCCATCAAATTCTTCTTTTGAAACACTTTTATTTTCTATCTTTAATAAAATTGCTTCAAAGCTGAAAATAGATTAACAAACACCATCTCCTAGGGTGATCCATCTGGTAAACCCCCCACTCTCCAGTCTGTGTTTGACTGGAAAAGCCCCTCAGCCTATGGGATAGCAGAGAGGCCCCAGTCTTCTGAGACTGCAATAAATTGTTGCCTTGGGCTAAACTGCACACATCAAGAAAACAAACGACAAGCAGTCATTACCAAAGTCAACGAGCTTAACTCCTCCTTCTGTTGTCAGTAGAATGTTATTCCCCTTGACATCACGGTGGATGATTCGGTTATTGTGCAAATGCTGAAGGCCCTGCATGGTGTCCCACCACCACCAAACAACAGGAAAGAGAAAGGGGAAATTTGAATGGTTATTTTAAAACAATTACCCTACCTTTAAAAATCCAATCAACGTCCACATTTGGCTATACCTCCCTGCTGTTATACACCTTGCATATTACAGGGCCATTTCCACTTGTTAATATGCAATTGTGATCCAACTGATTACAAATTGCCCCCTCTGATGTCATCCCCAGCCTGATGGATGTTCTTACCAAGAGGGCCCCATATAAGATGTATGAGATCATTGCTTCATCCAAATGCTGGCCGCACCTGAGTAGACCTTTGACAAGTTCGGTGACTGAGCCCCCATTACACAACTGCAAGAGGAGGTGCCAAGGAGAGAGATTCAGCAGGACATACAAAAGAAAATGAAAAAGACATTAAGAAGAAAAGCTGATTATTGACCTGATGTAGTAAATTTACAGATCATAAAACTCCAGGTCAGAATAATTAAACTTCAAATTTACATTATACCGTCAAACCTAGGGTATATGTGTATATTTATTCAGGGTGATGATTTATAAGTGAAAGTACATGTCCAAAAAGTTGATTGTCAAGTGAAATATAAAAGCACAAATTATTTAGACATTTGAAAGAGAAAGCATATGAGTAATCATGGTGATTTATTGGATATTCTTCATTTTACATGAATATTGTCTATACCACACACACACACATACACGTGCATTTTAAGGATAAGAGAAGACCAGAAGATGCCGTTGATACTTGGGAGGAAATAAATTTCATTTCAAACCTTCCTGTCTCCAGGGCTAGCACTGCAGGCATCAGAAGCCCAACCAGCAGCTCTTTCTAGAGTTGCCATTTGCATGTCAAATTTATGAGGTGGAGTTCCCTCATTTGTGCGTTTAACCTTCTCATATTCAACCCTGGGCATTCAGCAACTTTATGCCCTTATTTTTTTCTGTAATGAAAAACACTGTAAAAGTATATCTTGCATATTTGCTCTTTGTTATATATTATACATTACTGAAATTTGAGACTATGTGAACCAGGCATACTATACTTTTGTGGAAATTTAAGGGTTTTCAAGGATAATTTCTACTAACTGTAGAAGTCAATATGCAGGTTTGGGCTTGCTACATGCTGTCTTAAATCAAAAGTTCTTAATCGGTTTGAGCAGGACATGTAAATACCTTGAAATTGTAGGTGGCATGTTGTATATGCATCTTGCATTTTTTCTGCTGAGAAAATTCAGAGCTTCCTTCAGATTCTCAGAGCCATCCTTTCTCTTATAAGGTTAAGACCCCACTTTAGACTAGGTTTCCCCCTGGCACTTTACCTGAAATTTGGGAAAGAGTTAACTAGTGAACAGTGGGGGGCTCCCCGGGGTTGTGGCTGCTTGAATCAACTGGCTTTTCATAAACAAGGAAATATGAGGGAACATAGATTAGCACCTTTCCTAAAAGAAGACAACTCTTTATCAAGATAACACAGTAGGATCTATTGCACTCTAATTATGAATATCTGTAATGTTTTATCAAAGGGTGAGTAGATGTTTTTATTTGATGTGTGTATCATTCCCTGTTACATAAATGGCAGATACCTTGCATACACGTTAACAATCAAAATGATCTGGAACTGAATCTGCCCATTTTTTACCATTTAAATTGCTCAAAAGTAATAATATGTGATTAAAAATCTAATTCAGAATTAGCAATCTTTAAAACATGATAAAATTACTATCAGGAATGATTTAGGAGGGACCCTAAAAGCAGTGAAATGCATTGAAGACTACGATGGTCCCATCAGTTTGTGATTAAAGTGTCCTTGGAATCTACTCTCTACCAATGTCAGGTATAACTTGTAATTCAACACGGATCATTCTGATGGCCCTAAGGCTGAGAACCAGGGTAATGTCTTCCAAAGGATTCCACATTCTCTTGATTATGATTATGTTTTACATGACCCAAAAAGGGCAAATAACATTCAGTATTCAATCTAATATCCTCTTGGGCAATGAATGCATTTTCAGTGCCATGATTTGTATTAAAAGCTAAGCTTTCAACAGACAAAGATAATTTTCCAGAACTCCCCTAAATAGATTCTGTATTTCAAGGAACAAATACTGGAGAACTGACGAGAGTCAAATGATGATCATGACATGACAGAAGGGAAGTTCTCAAGAAAAAGAAAAGCCCTCTGGAGCTGGTGGTATAGAGCTTGGAGAGCTTGAGAGAAAAAGATTGGAGTGACAATGCTCCCTCTTGAGGGGTTCTAAATAAGGGCACAATTATCATAGAAATTTCAATTTCTTATGACCCTCTTTTCATTTGTAAATCTAAGGGGAGACCTTTTCATAGGAACCTCATGCCAACAAAGGGGTGTCCATGTTGAACAGAAATGGCAGTAGGGTAGGGTGAGGCTGACCAAGGCTGGGATTTTAACAGTTCCCTACAGCTCATTCATGACTTACAGAAGATTCAGAACTTTATGCTCCATTTGGGGACAGGGATAAGACTAGAGTTTTAATGACAAGGACAACAGAGTGAGGACCTCATGATAAGAAGGAGTATCAAGGACCAAGGACATGGGGAGATACCAAAGCCATAAAGTATAGGGACTTAGGGGTCACCACAAAATTCAAGGCTCCTGTCCTTACTCCTATAGCTTTACATGAACATCTGTTGTACCTAGATCCAGATGCCACCCAGGACAAAGGGAAGAGGAAGAGGAAAGATGAGGTTCTAAAAATACTGGGTCTTTACCGCCATGATTGAGTTTTGACCTGGACTGTGAAAACAGAATATAAATAGTAGAATTTGCCCCTTTCCAAAGAAATCACTCAGTTGGACTAAGTTTAACAGAATGAATTAAATCAGTTGTCTCCTCTAGGCAGGCTGGGAGCTCAAGAACAAAGTTGAGTTCAGTTATTGAAAAGAAAGCTACCTCTTTGTTCTCAATAGTTTGTGACTGTCCAGTTTATGACCCATTACTCATTCATGAATACAACACAGTCCCTGACCTCAAAAAGCTTACCAACAGTAACAGATACATTAGAAATTAGGGCATGGCATAAGGCAGTAGGGGTGTGCCTAAGGGAGTGTGGTGGCACCAAAGAGGGAATGGTGGCCTCTGCTGAGATGGGGTGAAGAGACAGTCTGTAAAATCTTCTTAGAGGATGCAACATTTACAATGGACACATGAGTTTATGGCAGATGGACAAGAAGGGGAAGGGCATCTATGAATTCCAAATAATCAGCTACTGTTGGAACAAAGAGTGCCAGAATCCTAGGGCAGGGAGATGGGGAATGAAGGTGGGGAACAGGAAATGACAAGTGTGCCCTGCTAATGAGTCAGGCTTTATTACTACATATGTGTCTATTATAACACCATAATATATCATTAGATAGGAATGGTAAGCAATCAGCAGGTTTTAGGCAAGAGGTCTCTATTCAGATTTGTAGTCTAGAAAGACCAGGGCAGCAGATGCAGAGTGGACAGAATAGGAAGACAACAGAAGATGGACACCTGCTAGGAGATGTTGAAGCAATCAAGAAAGGTAGGGTCAAACAGTCAAGAGTCATGAGGATGAAGATTCAGGGACAGATATAGGAGGCTTTTATGAGATAGAATCTGCTATCATTTCTGACCATCTGGATGTAGATAGTGAAGAAGAAAGAGACCTATGGATCTTGTGAGACTAAGGGAAATATCAATAAAGTCCTTTGATCCTCTAAAGCCAAAGTGATGAGGGAGCAGAAGGCAGGCTGAGGACAAAGCACAAGCTAACACCCCAACCCCCCCCACCCCCCGCTGTGATATATATGTGACATTCCTCAGGCACCCCTGGCTGCCCTGAACAAAGGAAAGGGAAAAACAAATGGTTAACTGATAGAGATCACAGTCATGCAGGACATGAGTCTCCATCAGTTTGCAACTGTCTTGATGATTTACAAGGAAAAAAGCATCTCCAGAAACCTACAGACTCAATTTCCTGGACCCCTAACATCACCCTCCCCTCCACAGGATAGAAAAGCTTATATAATCAGTCATACCTCACAACCCCAGTGCAGGTCTTTCTGCCCACGGGTCCTGTCCCCGTGCTTTAATAAACCACCTTTTTGCACCAAAGACATCTCAAAAATTCTTTCTTTGCCATTGGCTCTGAACCCTACCACTTCAAACCACATCAAAAGCAGTAATAGGAATGCAAGCACTATAACACCTTCATCAGAAACTCTCCTGAGCCTGGCTCCTGTCTCCGGGTGGCACATGCTTTGTTGAACTGGAAGTGCACTATTAAAATTCTACGGAGAGAAAATTTAAATTAAATGCTGGGTGATGATCCAAGCTAACTCAACCCTGGAATTCCGCCCCCCACCCTGAAACGTCACTTTATGCTCTCCTGCCCTACTTTAACTGTGGCCACTTTGGCAACACAAGCCTATTCAGCGATATTTTATACATGTAGCCAACTTATAAACTTTCCTCATAGCTCTAGAACCTATGAAGAGATTAAGAGCAGCCATTTCTGTAGCAGAATCAAAACAGAGCTGTGGATTTAAAAACAACAAAAGGATCCTACTTGGTAGGTGCCTTTTGTTCACTAAATGTCAGAGTTTAAGAGCTGTGTGACTTCCTGTGATTCACGAAAACATGTAATCAAACTGCCCACGGCCCCTTTAGAGGAAGCTGTCCTGTGAAATTGAAAAGCCCCCCAGTTTGGTTTTAAAGGGCAGCCTGTGGGTTACAGAAAAAGGACTTTGGGTACTTGGTATGAAAAAGGAAAGCAGGGACACACTGACAATTGTCCTATCAATGGTAAATGTTCAGTGAAATGAAATGAACATTTTAAAAGCATGACAAGGAATTACATTTAAACGCATCAAATAAATAATCCCCTTAGAGTTTTAAGAAGGCAACCAAGCCTCCAGCCCTACCCCTGAAGGTTGGCGCATGCAGCCTTTCATTCCCACCCACTCTGCCAGCCATCAGATTCAAAAACAGAGGTGTGTCTCCATCCCTGCTTTCTTCCCTACACCTTCCGCATTCAGGAAATGTGGCAGCTAGATGCATCTAGAATTTAAAGAGCATTTTGCTCCAAACCAAGAAAAATAAAAAAATCATTATGTACCACATCTGTTTTCTAAAACACCATTGAATATTGATTCAATCACAGTATGTGCATTTGTTAAGATGGCCATAATTTCAAGCAATAAAATGTTCCTTGCTCAATAAGCCATCAACTTTCCCCTGTGTTATTAAAGAATGGCCCATGCACTATAATCACCAAACCTTTATTCTAGTCAAAGCTCCAACTTTCAAGTAGATTCTGTACTGGCATGTTGATTTGACC